AATATGACGAACAACCCGCTAATTGAATACTGAGAAAGTCGCGTTATTGTCCTGTTAGGAACATCTATTCGCTTATTTCGCGCGTCGAGCGACGTGACTCTGTGAAAATAATCTGATCGTTAAATAACGAACGTGTACGCAGGGTGTTGCAAAATTATAGAGCGAAGCACGTAACTGGAGTTAATATATGCGACTCTAATTGATTGTAAAGACTATTACGTAATTCGAACGGGACTGTGCGACGGGGTATACAATTTTCTGTTTAACACGTTCGGTTATGCATTTTATTATTTGGATACCACGAGTTGTGTCACTTTTTGTAGTTTAAAATAGTCAAATTTAAATGGGTTACGCGAATGGTCGATCTTTTAGAACATCCTTAACGACAGATTTGAAACTTCAATTCATTTGACTGATGTTCAATGTCCCCCAAGTTAGAATTTAGGTGGCCTCAAATCGAAGAGTTTGAATATCTCAGATCGAGACTGATCTCTTTTTGCAAAAATGGTACTTGATGGCCCAAAAAAGGTGGAAGTCAAATAGGATGAGGTCAGGTGAATATGCTCAACATTGAAACGTTGACACGTGTTGTGGAGAAGACAGACATGGTCGCGTTTCGCGGTTTGCGTCGGCCAACTGTTGGAGTCGAGCTCATGGCGGCTGTCACGGTGGTGTCAGTTAAAAGCAACTCGAAATAGAGCATTCTCAGAAATAGAAGAGAATCTCTGCTTTCCTATACACCTGCTGCTATGATTATATTTTAGATATATGTAATAGTTTCGTTTGAACATAAGTGATTCTATTTGTAGTTGCAAACGATATTACTTTTATATCAACCCCTTCACACACAATTTAAGTCCAAATAATTTTTCAAACGTATAGTACTTAATTTTGTTTAAATTTGTTCGTACAAGGAATGGCCACGAAATAGAATAGATTTATTTTACGAATACCTCGTGAATGTTAGAAATGTGTCGACTTTAATACGCAAGACTTGACATATTAGGGTATTTTTCCATTTGAATAATATTTTTTTTATAATCTATCAGAGTTAAAAGATTCTATACTAGTATATTAATAAAGAAATTTCATATTAAGACAAGTTTTCGTCCCCAGATGACAATTTCCCTTAAAAAATCGCGTTTCTTAGTTTCTTAGGCGAGAGATCCAAGTTGACACGAGACTTTTTGATAACTTTCTCGCGAAAACGATTGCAGATGGTCGCGTTGGAGGGTCGTTGACGGTTAGTGGTGTTTAGTTTGGCTTCGAGGGCGGCCGTGAGTGTTCGACAGTGGCAGATGGACGGCTAGAACGGGATCAGACTCTTCTTCCTCGAAGCGTTGAAACCAACGGGACATAGTGGAATACTGGACGACGTTGTCGTTGAATGCAGTGTACATATTGGTTGCGGTGGTTCTTGCTGAACGGCCTTGCAAGTACTCGTAGTAGGCGATAGCCCGTAGATACGGTTGGTCGATCGAAGCCATGATTGCTCAACTCGTAGTAGCAGCCGTGTTATGTATGCCTCGGGCAGAAGCTTCGAGAACATTCTATCACATTCGAATGTAAAAGTTCCCACGTGTGTGAAAAATCGAAAACATTGCAAGACTTTCTTGGCAAACCCAATAATTACAGAGTTATTGGCCGCTCGAATCAACTGGCTGGATAAATCGTAGATAGTGGTGGGTACCCCTAACGCTGATCGATAGATCGTTCTTGCTAAATTTCTAGGTACTTTGATTTTTAATATCCGTGACTTCAGTGTTGTAATATTTCTTCGACTACAAACTTCAGATGCTCTTTTTTTAATTTGATCATTATACTTATTATAGGAAAAAATACGAAATAAAACTTTGTCAAAAATGGGCAATGATATTTGACAGTTCAGATCTAAATCGCTTAAAAATACGTTTTACGATCCCGAAGGTTTCGTTATAAAATTTAAGCAGAAGATGGTAATGTAATAGATTTTTCAGATTGGTGCAACATATATGTTCTCTGAGATATGATGTTACATGCTGTAAGTTACGTGACCCGGGGCGATAGCGTGACGATCGCGGTCGTTGAATATTGCATTACTTTACAACGTGCCAAGGCACATGCTCCAAAATGCCTAGTCCTTTTCGCGAAAATGGAACGTCCATAAATTTGGCACGGTAGCCTGGCAATTACGGTCGCATCGAATTGTGGGGCCTGGAAGGAATCAACGAAGTAATCTCGCGTCTTTGGCGTGGATCCAAGGCGTAGTCGATCCAGACAATTCCATTAATATAGTGTTGCAGTTTGGGCTCTATCGAAGAAATTGGTGGTACGCCGGAATTCTCTCGGCGAATATTTCCTTCGATCGATGAATAATATTGCCTGTTATCGAAAAAAAGTCAGTCATAAATTATTTTATTAATACAATGTTTTCATCGGTTAATTCTTCGGTTCATACAAATAATTAAGTTTCTCTTTTCAACCTGTGGGCATAATTAATTTTGGACTTTCAATATAACGTGTATATTTTTAAATAAAAATAATTGAAAAATACTCCAGTTTTTTGAAAGAAAAAAGTAAATGTTACGGATTTATTTAAACGCGTAGGTTTCGTTCAGGTTCTCTAGACTGTGCTGCGAACTTTGCAGATTAGCAACGATCTCTTTTCTGTATCAAAAGTTTTTTAGCGACTACGCTTATCAGCGATTACATGGCGGAAAGATAACGCGGCGAGTTCACCGCACCGTTATCCCGATTTGCAAAAGTTTCATGCGCGAGTAAGTGTAGCCTTGACTTGAGCAAAATGGACAGAAGGAGCGCTAAAGCACCACTTTGCATTAGTTACATTATTCCAAGTGGTTCGAGCCACTTCAAACATTCCCGTCGTTCGACGAACATTGCTGCTCGCTTAACGTTTAGAGCAACCGATGCCGTTTAAAATTAATTAACGCCATCGTAAAACACTGAGCGTAAATCGACGCGTAAAAAGGTCCAAGTCTAAACATTGTTTCTCTTTCTTTTTTTTAGAAATTTCTAATTTGAATTAATCGATTCGAAAACAACGAACGTAAATTATAAGAAAATTCAGAATTCATTGACTCCAATAATTTTTACATTTTATAGAAATCGTTTACACTATGTGGAGTATATTTAGATTATATTAAGTATTGTTAAATTTCGATAATTTGATATGTTAGTCGAATGTTGAAATCCACAGTTTGTGTACACCATGAAAGGGTAAATGTTTTATGGTATTTAAGACTCCTATACTCTCTCGAGCTTCGATTATCGTCGCGATAACACATGGGATTTAATTTCTTCGTAGAAATCAGGCTTCTAAAGGAAGGTAGACGCTATCAAATGTAGTTGGTGCGTGGAATTCGCGTTCTAGCGAGGATGAAATTTACTAAAGTATTCGAAACACTCGTTGCTAATGAGACACGTTCGGTTCTACCCTCCGGTTCTCGCTCCTCGTTTCCTGTGAGCCATAAGGCAACGTCACGTTTGTCTTTATTGTATCAACAACTAGCAGGCCGGACCGTCTAATTGATTTACGCCACCCTCAGTCATCAGCAGGCTGGAGGAATCTTATCCGCGAAAATCCACGTGGCCATTGGGACGCGTCTCGAGAAAAAGGCACGCGATGAAGGGGAAAGACGTGGCTGAGTAGAATTGTGTAGGAAGGGAACATGATTGCATCAACGCGAAGCTTTTAACGCAGGAAATGTCGGAAAAAATTGTTCCCCCGGAGACTTGATCTCTTCTGAACTTTGTTACAACAGAAATACAAAAAAAAGAGACAAAACTCCGATGACTGAGTTTTGACAAAAATTATTATTATAATGACAAATAATTTTGTCTTTAACAAGCTCAATATAAAATGGTTCCAAATTTTTTGTATCTTCTTTCAATCTGTATATAAAATTAATATGAAAAAGATATGTGATAATAAGAGGAATACTTTTGTAATTAGGTTTCGAGAAAAATGACCTTAATTACATCATCATATCCAATTTGAACGTTTCGATTCCATTATTGGGTCCCCGTCAGAAACCAAATTGTAACCTTATAAAATAATGGAAGAGTAAAAGTCACTTATAATTATGGTTATGCAATGTGCATTGTATAATACCGACAACCGAAACTAATTACAGTTTCTATTATTTCCACCATAATTAGTCGTCCACATTTTTGCAGAATTAGTTGGTCGTATATACGTGAATTTTCCATGGATAACGGTCCAATTATATCTGCGGAAATTGAAACGAAAGTAAAAGTAAGAAAACATGTCGTAACACATGTTTCGGCAATGCCGGTTGCATCACCGGAAATATAAATGTAGAATGGGGACAGTACAGAACGACATATAAATCATCTACAGCAGAATGTGATGTTTAAAATAGAGTCACTCCTTAAATTTTAGTATTTATAACACATTGCTGGAAGCAAAATATTTTGTTCAGGTTTAAACAAGCATATTTTATTTAGTGATCGATATGAAAACAATTTCAACTTTATAATGTTCATAAGATTAAATATTTTGTTTTAGATGATCCTTAATTTCTTTCTAGTTAAACATAGGATTCTTGAATTTTAACGAGGCTGTAAGAATAAGTTCTATGATAAATTATGGATACACTAGTTTCCAATTGTCTAAAAACTATCATTTTCGTGGACAGTTTGAGGTGTTTGGTACGTTAGTTTTCTATGTCTAGAAAGATGCTTGACATTTGTTCAAATTGTACAATAAAAAGGAGAAATATTTATTAATTCAATGGTGTGCCTTTCTAACTAAACAGCGGATCTGAACAGAATTAATGAAATGGGAGCTTTGTACAGGGTTGTCTCTCTAAATTTATTTCTTATATATTTTTCCATATTAAGTGCATTCTGCAGTTTCTTGAGAATAAAAAATTCCCACAAGTGCATAAACATCCGCAGTCTATTTACAACATTTCTACCAACTATCATCGTAAGTTTAAAATGGAGAGGTTAACGTCCTGTGTTTGTTTTCTGTTCAGGACCCGTGATGCCACCGCCGAGTCGTCGGAATCGTTAGAAACGGGCCGAGAAAAATGGCCTCGATCTTGGGAGACGGAACGGGCCCCGGAGGCTCGGGACCCTCCCGATGCCTCTTGCTCCTTCAAAGGTCCCTGGCGATTCAGCTGACCAGGGGTCCGCCTCCTCAGGTTCTGAACGCCAGCCAACGGGAGAGTCCCAAGGAGCATCCAGCCGACGAGATGTGGATGTACGATAAAGGTTACAATTTGTTTCAGGTGAGTCGACGTGCGCTGCATTATCGTGGATTATCTAGGCTGTGTGTACGTAGCCGTGTGCATTCCCTTCAGCTGGCTGGTACGGGGAGGGCATTTTTCGATGTAACGATCTGTTACAACGTGACTACCGTCCACCCATTATGCGGCGATATTCTTTTCATTCGAGGGCAAACACGAGTGGTTACATGGCGGCACGGGTCGTTGCAACAGCGAGCCGGGGCACGGTCGTTCGACTTAATCGCGGTGTTTTGTTACCAACCGGCGGGATTATTATTTTATTTATCGTACGACCGTACAAGGAGGTGGGGGAGAACTGGAAACCGGAGAATTTTCCGGCGTAATTCTCGGCGAGACGCGGTTTCGGTGACGCGAACGACACGACCGAAGCGCGAACGTGTCCCTTCGTCGAGCGTTCGTTCGTTTTTACAACTCGTCGTTTCCGAAGTGAGATTGGCGTTGATTGGATGCACCGTTACGCCGGAATGAGACAATATGAATTACGAGCAATTTCGCGAGGCAACCTTGTCGGAGGGATAGGACGAAGCAACGAGTTAAGTGGCGGACGTTCTATAGTCTTGCTAGCTATACGACGCGTCGTGATCCTTGCAACGTACATTTTTTTCTCCCTTTTAATTGTGCGCGAGGCACGGGCTGTCGTTACGGGAAAGCCACGCGGATTTCGTACGAAATTTATTTCCGCGAGTCTCGACCTCTGTCGGGCGCGATCCTGGATACAATGAGGCGAAGCCTACGATACAAGAACGTCTATTAAAATACACGTGTACGCGTGTCGCCGTGAAAATCATTGCAGAGAACATGGCTAGACCGTAGTGCCCCTTATTTCATGTGAAACGGATACACGGGCCCCATGGGTAGATCGTAGTGACTCTTGTTTCGCGTGCGTTTAACACGTTCACTCCAGCGGGGGACACGCATGCCCCGTATCGTACCTTTGTTTCGCGCGAGACACATTTTATTCAACGTTTGCTCGATAATATTCGATGTATAACTCCATCAGGAACATATTTTCCTAAAGATCTATTTACTAAAGTAAGCTGAGAGTCTATCCTAAAATGTTGTAAATAATCGCTAATGATTTTGAAATCATTCTCGTTTCGACAGCCAACAAGATAGGACGTGTTTATTTCGTAATACGTAAATACGTAGTGTTAATGAGCGCTGTTTGAAAACATTAAATCTCGACTCGTGCATACGTATCACCATGTACATAAAACATTTGTACAAAATACAAGATAACATCACCTATTAGCCTTGATGTCACAGAAACACATAGAAAATACCCTGAACTATCTAAGAGAAACCTACCACAAAATATAACCACACCAAAGGAAGAGAATCCAGCACCTAGTCGTCGCTAATGAATTTTGAAATCTATACTGCAAGATTCGATAGCACATAGAAGTATCGAAGCCCTTTTATTGTCCTTTTTATTGTCTTTCTAACAAGAGTCTCTGGAAAAGAAAATCAACTAGGTTAGTCTCTATGTGCTCTGTGCTTTCACTGTTAAAAACTCGGTTGAAAACTTCGACGTCCTCTCGAAGTAAGAAACGACTTCGCACCCGCGACCGACAAAGTAAGCTAATGGGTTAATATCACGTGAAATAACATCGCGCGTTGAAACGCGTACAGCCTTCGTTTCACGTGTACACGTGAATCCGCGTGCATGTGGAACAGGGGACTCCGTATCGGGAACAAAAACTCGTGCGTGGGCGTCGTTTACTTGACTAACGAGGGACGTCATCCGTTACACGGTGATTTCGATGAAACTCAGCGTAGCTTTATGTCAAGAACTATATTCAGAATATTCATCCACCACTATAAATATATTTAATTTTGTTCCAAATTTGAACTTTATTATTTCTGATTGAATTTGATAAATTCTTTATATATTATTATCGTTAATTTTGCAAACTTGCAAAGAATTATTATTCGGTTCAGAGAAGAATTTCGTGACTCTGAGAGGTTTGCATGTCCCCGAACGAAGTTCACCGAAGGGTTGGGGAAATAAATTGGAAATTATCGATGACTGGGTTAGCATCGAAATCAGGCACAATAGCCTAGATTCCGTTCCTTTTTCCGCATGGTTTATTCAGAGTTGCCCGGTGAAACTCACGTTGGCAGTCGGGGGAAATAGAATTCGGACACGCCTTCCAACGGGAGAGTGCCCTTCAGTTTCAATGAGCTCTCGTTAGGGGTTGGGGCATCCCTCCGGGGGGGAAAGTTAACCACGTCTGCTCCTCGTAGCAAAATCCACCGAGAAAGACTCAAAGATAGTAGTTCGGTTCATTCCCAGGGGTTCAGAATCGTGACAATGGCATCTTTGTACTAGTCAGTCCCGGTAACCCACCATTTTGCTACCTTCTTCTCTTTTAAATTGTACGCTTTCGACACCTGCTCCGAAATAAATCCGCCAGCTCATCCATAAAACGCTTTATGCGTTCGTTCTGCACGATTTTAGGGTCGTAAAGCTTACCTAATCCCGAAGAATAGTTTACGCCAAGGTGTAAACGGTCTTTCGGAAGCAGACGTTGAAAGATCGTTGAAATATCTCTTTACCTTGTACCGGGACCAACAAAGGCGAGGGAAATCCTATTTTTAGGAATCTATTTTCATCGAAAGACTTTGATGAATTGATGGTAGACAGGTGCAATGATAATACACAAAGTACAGTTGCAGCTTGCATTGTTTGTAACCTCTGGGTGTGAAACGATGTTTGTTTAACGTTGGAACTGTTACGGTTACGAGTTTCGAGACGTATTGATATATCGAGGCACGCGTCTAATTAACGTCTATTTTACTTAGAATTAATTACCAGAAAAAAATTAAAAGCAGCAAGGAAATCGTTTGGAACACTCTACACAAAGTTTAAATTATGTGCAAATTAAAATACAAAGGCTTCCACGAGAGATAATTGTAACTAAATAATTTCGAAAGTCAAAACCTTATAGAAACCCAACGAATTGCTAAAAGATTTCCAAGTTTTATTGATAAATAACTGCTGACGGAGTGCATGGTTCTCCGGTGCCTAATTTGCGTCACAAATCAATTTAAATAGCAAAGGTAGCGTGACTATCAGCGACGCGATTAAACACTGTAAACCTTTCAAAACAGTGCGAAATGCATCCATGTTCATCTGATAAGGAAACATAATTTCTGTAGTGCCGGGCGAATCGGATCAACGCACTATAAACGTCAGACTAATTAGAGTCGCCATAGAAACGGCCGCAGTTACGTTTTATCGTTTCACAATGCGCGGGGCCAGTTTATTTATTGCCTCGGTTAATTATTGTTCGCCACAATCGACTTTGAGATACCATCAACGTGCAACGATCGGGCCGCCACGAACGCTCCGTCTCGTTTAACTTCTCCTCGTCGTTGCCCCGTCGTTCCATTTAGAATATTGTCGTTAATTCCGTCCGCGTTTAGATGGATATCGGTTAAATCTAATTGCACTTTTACTCGTAAATTCGGTCGACCGCGCAGTACAAACTTTGGGACAATTAGCGCGCGCGTTCGTTCGATCAGGAAGAAAAAGCGCGTTTGTCGAGACAATAACCGCCGCTCGCTTATTAAAAACAAGAGCATATTGTAATTAGTAATATCTGTGAAATGGCCGTGCATGAATTTAAACTTGTCCCGGCGGAGTGAAAGCGTGACACAAGAGCGTAACGTTGCCGCGTCGTACGATTTATTTTACTGAAACGCAACGGGACTCGAAAAAAATTAGTGGCTTCGTAAAAGGATATTGGAAATTCAAGTTTTAATGCGCATTACCTTCGTACGGGTTAAAAATTAAATTCCGATTTCATTAATATTCAACGTATCGCGATATATCAAAACAGCGGTTATTTATAACCGAACGCTCGAAGCATTCTGTTTTGTTGAGCCAATAAAATCAAATGTGAACGTATCGTTGTATTGTTTGATGGAAACATACGATAAAAAATTTTGGGTTTGTCTTATTTTTAGTTTCTTGGATACCAGGAATTTTTAGATCTATCTAAACGTCTTCTTCGGTTGAAAATTTATCTTGTTAACAATGACGCGACGCAAGGGGGAAAACTGGCTCCGCAACGTACAGGGAAGATCACAATCTACAGTTTATATAAGGGGTGAACGGTTCAGTCGGAGTCGAGATGACTTTTGGCGATCAATATCGAACCTAACTTTATTTGGTACCAAGAAAGAAATTTTAATTTCTTCATTTGCGGTATTGTATACTATACAAATTTAAAAAATTTTAAAAATGCATGGTGAACATGCTTGGAACTTGAGTTTAAAAAACAACGTTCCAAGACTAAAGACTTTAATCGAAATAGAACCTTGTCTAACTATGAAAGAAATAGACAGAACTAAAATATATCGATGATTGGAAAGGACATTGCTTATGGGATGAATATTTTTATGAGCACATTATAAACACATTGAGTTTCAGTGCATAAACAACACCATTCCGGTTCACGAGTGACACCTCGAGTCGTTTTATTGCGGATATTATGCCAGGAGCACACATATCTGCGATACATTTTCCGCTTCAACGTGAAACACGATCTCGAAGCAAACACCAGTACAACGATGCAGCCGTGCATCGCTGGATGCACCGCGGAATCGTGTTACTCCGCGTACCGGTGAGCCTTATGCGGAAATGGATAGTAAACAGAGATAAAATCATCGATTAATATAAATATTGCGGTCAAAGGATCGGGGAAGATATCCTTCTCGAAAAATACATTCGAGTATTTCAGGTTTACAGAAATTGGCCGCGAGTTTGTTTATCAGATTGAATAATAAGTTCGTTTGGACGATGGTAAATTCATATTTCATTCGCGAGAAATGGTATTTAATTAACGGTGTATGAATGCGAATTTTATTAATCATTCACTTTGCTAGTTCTGCGGTTCGTCCGGTTTCTGGATATTTATTCGTAACGTTCTGAAGTATATTTGAGACACTTTTAATCGAGAAGACACGTTATCTGC